TTCTTTGATGAATAGAAAGTTCAAAAGAACGTTATTTGAAACAAATATTTTTTTGTAACATTAACATATAAAAAAATGTCTTTCCTGTTACTTTAGATCAATTTAATGTGTCCTTGCTTTTTATTCGTACTTACTCCAAACGAATGGTAATGTATCACAATTTCCAAAAAAAATATTAAGCAACAAAAATGGCTTTCAGCATTGATAAAAATTAGAAATGTTTCTTGAGCACCAAATTATCATGTTAGAATGATTTCTGAAGGATCAACTGAAACTGAAGACTGGAGTAATGCCTGTTGAAAATTCAACTTTGCCATCACAGAAATAAATTACATTAGTAAATACATAAAAATATAAAAGAGTTATTATTATTATTATTATTACAGTTATTATTGTAATTATATTTCACAATATTACAGTATTCACTGCAGCCTTTGTGAGCATAAGAGACGTCTTTCAAGAACATTACAAAATCTTAATCATTTCTAACTTTTAACTGTAGTGTATATTGTTAAGAAAACACTATAAAACTAGAAATAGCGGTTTAGAGTAGAGATTTAGATTTGATTCAAAAACAGCATGCGCTGAGAAAGGTAAAAAAAAAATGACCTGGATATTTTGCTGACCTCCCTTTGGTTCATGGCATTGAGCACTGAAGAGTCTCCAACTTGTTTGCGAATCCAGAGCTCAATACCAATTCTGGTGTAGAGTAGCAGCATGGCTGCAAGAGGTAGGAGGAAGAGGAACACTAGAATAAAAGTAGCATACTGCTTCCTGTGGGCACTTGAGCTCCAGCGCTCCAGACAACACACATGATGGAGATCATATAGAAAATCATATTTCACCTGCACACAGAAGGAAAGAACAGAGAGATTTGAAATAACGGATTAGGATATGGAAACCATTATCACTATAGCTGTAGCATATGAAATGGACCAATGTTGTTATGTTTATAATCTAATATATATATATATATATATATACTTTTTGCCTTGGACCAGAAGGCACCTGACAGCTTCTAACAAGCTAAATTGACGTGACATAGCCAAGTATGGTGTCCCATGAATTTGTGCTCTGCATTTAACACATCCAAGTGCACACACACAGCAGTGAGTAGTGAACACACACACAGTGAGCACACACCCGGAGCAGTAAACCCTGGGGAAATTTTCAAGTATACAGAACCCAGACTGCAAGCTAACTAATGTTTCGACAAGTTGGATGTGGATTTTTGAATGTTCTGAAAGCTTCAAATGGAATATTTCAGCCAAAAATCAGATTAGTACCTCTAAATGTTGAACAAAGAGCATTGGAGATCCAACCAGCATGGCTGCGATCCAGACAACCCCTAACAGAGAATGAAAACACTATTATCCAGATGCTTTATGCATAGATGTGGAATGCAAATTATGCATGATCTAATATTTCAAAAATGAATTAAATTTGAAATGGATACTCAAAAAGAAAACCTATGAAGGATATTGGTTGTCAGAAACTACTCACCCAGCATTCTGTATGCTCTTTGTGGAGTGCACTGTCTTTTGATTTTCAGAGGGTGTACAATCCCCTGGTACCTCTCCACAGCGATGCAGGTCATTGTGAGAATGCCAGTCACAATAGCAGTGGTCTGAACAAAAGGAACAGTTTTGCACACCAACATACCTACAAACACGTAAATGTTTAAAGAGCAAACTTCCTGAGACAGTCTTTTGACAATGATAAGTTCAAAGAAAAGCCAACTAGAGCCTACAACCATTTGTCCAGTTATTTAAAAATACTTTGAGAACAACAGTTCATATAAAAAAATGAATTGCGTATCTCTTATCAATATGTTTTTAGTTTCTGAGCTATTGTGGGGTTTATTGTCAACATTTTTTAGATGGTTTAACTATTCAGAAATTGTTAAAATGATGTCTCATTAAAAGGAAAAAAAGGGGGGAAAAGTTTATATAAATACTTTGGATCTATCATTGTTATTATTTCCTTCGATTTTGTTTTAATATATTAATATTTGAAAAACATTTATCTGCCAAGTAGTCAAAAACAGTGAGGCATAATAAACACGCAGGAAGATATTTTGTTGTCCTGTGAAGAGTTTAGTCCCTAAATAAATAAATAATTACAACAACATATTGCAAGCGGACAGAACATGCATATCCTTGCGAACTCTTTTTTATTATAACAATGCTTTATAAGCGACACTCACCCCCGAACCATTCAGAAGAGATGTTCTGCAGCAGAGTGAATGGGATGCAGAAGAAAGATATCAGGAGGTCGCTGACGGCTAGAGAGCAGATGAAAATATTTGTGGCGGTCTGGATCCCACGCGTTCTTAAGACAATGTAGACAACTAGACTATTGCCAATGAGAGCCAGGAGAAAAATCACAGTGTACACAATAACAAATATAGTTTTGGCGCTGGCCGGTAACTCAGGGATGTAAACCAACGGCTGAATCTCATACGTTTTAATAAACTCCTGACGAGTAAGATTGTAAAACTGTAGTAGTTGCTCCAACACTTCGGGAGTAATTTTCGTATCCCCCATGTATAAAGCTTGTCTTTAAAAGCGGGACGAAAGAAATCAAAGTTTCACAAAGCGCAGGCTGGTGAGTCAGTACAGTATCCTGCTCTGCTGCCGTTCCGCGTCTCTTCACACTGAAGCAGCAGCAGCTCCCTTGATGCGGAGTAGCCTATTTTTTGTGACACATCATCGGCGGTGTGTCAAAACCTAAAGTGAGTCGTCTTCCCTAACCCTTTAGAGACGCCTATGACGCCCAAGCATGCTGTCTATGAAGGCAGTTTACTAAGTTTGGAGACAGCCATGTGCTCAGTAGAATCCATACATATTGTATAAAATGCCTGATCACTTGCACAATATAATCTCAAAAAAACATGCACACTTTTTTCACCTTTGCAGAAAACAAAAACAAAATATGAAACATAAAATGACGGACAAAGAATAAAAGTGGTAGATAAAAATAAAAGATTTATAATGTAGCTAATTCATATACTACTACTACTACATTCTTGAGATAATCTATTGAGATAATACCGTAATAATAATAATTATTATTATTAATTACCTCTCCACAGATAGTAATCTGTGATATAGTAATCCATAATTGATAATAATAATAATAATTATTATTATTATTATTAATTATTAGTAAACTTATGTGATTACATTTATTTTTGTGATATTTACCTTTATTGAATTGTATATTGTGAATACATGTGATTCTTGAGATAGGACAACACTTTACTTTAAAAAAGGAACATTTTTATTTGGAAATGTGTCACAGTAGGCCCTTTCGCACCGCTTTAGTTCCAGAACTAAATGTACGGTACTAAAGTACTGGGACGATTTTGCGCAAACTATTTCCCAGTACCATTTACAGGGTTGCATTCGCACCGACAGTGTGTACTAGGAAGTGACGTAAGCCGGTCGACAGCGACGTCATTTGTGTGCGGCATTCAACAACAGAAACAAAAGAAGAACTACGTTAACAACAGGAGGATGGAGGACGCTGTGATCGGAGCTGTTTTTGTTGTCTCGCGGGTTTCACAATAATGGACATGGAATGTAGACGTATACGTAAAGCGATTTAAAGAACGGAAAGGAGGACTAAGAATCTCCAACGACAACTGGCAGTGCTACATTTGCTACAAGTGCCTGCACTTCAGCGTCTGTCCATCTATCGCTGTTCTCCATACATGCGAAATAAGTTGGCATGCTTACAGTATGTTTACTCGGAATTTTAAATCATGGCGGGTGAGGGTGTTTTCATA